AACACCCTTATTATCGATAATCACCTTAGCTGGAAGGGGCATATCGACCATGTATGCGACAGACTTCGAGGAATTCCGGCCAAATGCTCGTTAGTAAAATACAAAATACATCTCATTAGCAGAATCTATAATATCGTACGGTCTTTCTAGCTATGGTATGACCTATAAAACACACCTAGACCGACTTTACACCTTGCAACTCCGTATTTTATAATTTTAATACCAAAAAGTGTTAAAAATTTAAACATCAATAACATAATATTTTTCATTTCTGTAAAATATTCGTGTACACAATAAACTAAAGTATATATTATTATTACTTGTTGAAAATTTCTTTAATAAAAATTTACAAATTCCAATACATTATAATTTTAACACACGAGTCAAAGAAACCTACCTAAGCATTACCAAGATACATAAATCTATATGGAAAACGAAAATTAGAATACTTGATTCCCGATATCATAAACAAACTTCCATCACAACTAAAAAAAAATTAATCAAGGCAACATCAAAAATATATTAAAGAATTACTTCTTACGTATCTTATAATAAGTATTGTAAAATTAAAATAAAAATTATATATTATAAGTTACACATTAATATTCTACAAACTAATATTACATATACAATAATTATTAATAATATAAAATAAGTTTATCTTTAATATCATTAATTAGTATTAAATGCGACAGTAGCCTAATGGCAGGGCGCGGACCGCGAACCCAAAAAGGTCGTGGGTTCGAATCCGCCATTCGACTACTGGCGTGAACCACTCGTAACACAAGCAATTTAAGCTTACCACGAGTGGTTAAGGGGAATATTAGTAATGTTTATAGCATTGTTAATATTCTTTTAAAAAATAATAATAATATGAACAGCCTGCATATATACATTTCATGGTCCTCGCCTCAGGGGTGACAACGCATCTGCATTTTGATTCTTAATCGAGGTTAAACGTAAATATCTACGGCCCGCAGCATCAATTTACTATCAAGTGAACTTCATGCTCATTTATCGCGCTTATTCTTTAAAAAATAATAATAATATGAACAGCCTGTATATATGCATTTCATGGTCCTCGCCTCAGGGGTGACAACGCATCTGCATTTTGATTCTTAATCGAGGTTAAACGTAAATATCTACGGCCCGCAGCATCAATTTACTATCAAGTGAACTTCATGCTCATTTATCGCGCTTATTCTTTAAAAAATAATAATAATATGAACAGCCTGCATATATGCATTTCATGGTCCTCGCCTCAGGGGTGACAACGCATCTGCATTTTGATTCTTAATCGAGGTTAAACGTAAATATCTACGGCCCGCAGCATCAATTTACTATCAAGTGAACTTCATGCTCATTTATCGCGCTTATTCTTTAAAAAATAATAATAATATGAACAGCCTGCATATATGCATTTCATGGTCCTCGCCTCAGGGGTGACAACGCATCTCCATTTTGATTCTTAATCGAGGTTAAACGTAAATATCTACGGCCAGCAGCATCAATTTACTATCAAGTGAACTTCATGCTCATTTATCGCGCTTATTCTTTAAAAAATAATAATAATATGAACAGCCTGCATATATGCATTTCATGGTCCTCGCCTCAGGGGTGACAACGCATCTGCATTTTGATTCTTAATCGAGGTTAAACGTAAATATCTACGGCCCGCAGCATCAATTTACTATCAAGTGAACTTCATGCTCATTTATCGCGCTTATTCTTTAAAAAATAATAATAATATGAACAGCCTGCATATATGCATTTCATGGTCCTCGCCTCAGGGGTGACAACGCATCTCCATTTTGATTCTTAATCGAGGTTAAACGTAAATATCTACGGCCAGCAGCATCAATTTACTATCAAGTGAACTTCATGCTCATTTATCGCGCTTATTCTTTAAAAAATAATAATAATATGAACAGCCTGCATATATGCATTTCATGGTCCTCGCCTCAGGGGTGACAACGCATCTGCATTTTGATTCTTAATCGAGGTTAAACGTAAATATCTACGGCCCGCAGCATCAATTTACTATCAAGTGAACTTCATGCTCATTTATCGCGCTTATTCTTTAAAAAATAATAATAATATGAACAGCCTGCATATATGCATTTCATGGTCCTCGCCTCAGGGGTGACAACGGATCTGCATTTTGATTCTTAATCGAGGTTAAACGTAAATATCTACGGCCCGCAGCATCAATTTACTATCAAGTGAACTTCATGCTCATTTATCGCGCTTATTCTTTAAAAAATAATAATAATATGAACAGCCTGCATATATGCATTTCATGGTCCTCGCCTCAGGGGTGACAACGCATCTGCATTTTGATTCTTAATCGAGGTTACACGTAAATATCTACGGCCCGCAGCATCAATTTACTATCAAGTGAACTTCATGCTCATTTATCGCGCTTATTCTTTAAAAAATAATAATAATATGAACAGCCTGCATATATGCATTTCATGGTCCTCGCCTCAGGGGTGACAACGCATCTGCATTTTGATTCTTAATCGAGGTTAAACGTAAATATCTACGGCCCGCAGCATCAATTTACTATCAAGTGAACTTCATGCTCATTTATCGCGCTTATTCTTTAAAAAATAATAATAATATGAACAGCCTGCATATATGCATTTCATGGTCCTCGCCTCAGGGGTGTCAACGCATCTGCATTTTGATTCTTAATCGAGGTTAAACGTAAATATCTACGGCCCGCAGCATCAATTTACTATCAAGTGAACTTCATGCTCATTTATCGCGCTTATTCTTTAAAAAAAAATACCACCACCATAATACGACACTGTCATTTGACAAATGTCTAGAAATAGAATTCAATTCAACATGCACTAATGAAGACTTATTACATTTATTACAAGGAATACAGAAAAGTATAACACTCACCTTTTTATTCCAAAAACACACAGAAAAACGAAGAAATAACTATAATCATAAGCACTAGCTACACACTACCACGCACACTACTGGTGTAAAGACTGTAAAGACCCGTTACGACAGAATGAGTTTTTATGTTTATTTCTTATGCGACATTGACAGATTATAGTACCAAATTAAAGATTATGTCTTTGTCTATATCTGTATTATATATTTCAGTATAAGTTTGTTATAATTTTTAATGGCAAACCTTTTTTTGTCATAAATTCTTAGTAGGCGTATGTGTACCATTGTCGAGCGGGCGTCGCGCTTTGTTTTAGTCACATGTGTACCCTTATCGAGCGAACAGGTTAAAACAAATAATACATAACAGTGGTAGGTTACAGTAAATGAAAAAGATTGGTGTCATCAAATATTAAGTCAATTTATTTGAATACAATTTACTAATTTTAATAAAAAAATAAAACAACTTATATATAAGAATTCTTGACTTACTTGTTATATTAATATTACAAGAGGTCGCAATGAAGGCTTTTGTTTGTTTAAATTTAGCATAATCAAAAGAAATATTGGGTTCAACATATACTAAGTTATTTATAATAATAAAGTAGGTATAAGATATAATATCATAGATTAATGAACGATATAATGATCAATCAGGTCACAATATGATAAGGCCTAGGAGGTTAAAGAACTAGAGGTAGCCTCCATGATACCTACACTAACAATTTACAAAAATTAGCGGGCAACACATGGTGAAGTTAATATAAAGATAAATGGAAATGGGTGAAGGCATAATAAACATAATGAGACCGTGAATTTATGTAAAACAAATCAATTTATATTTTTTTCTTTTGTCATGATTTAGATACGAAATAAGGCTAAATTTTAATTTTTTATTTAATTTTAATTAAGGGCTCATTTATTTTCGGCCTAAATTGACGTCAACTTAAGCTGCTATCCCTTTTTCACTAATTGCCAATAGAAAAAGACAGTTATAGAGATAATTGATACTTAAGGGGAAATATAACCTCAAATGGCTTAGCAAGATCCTCCGTTATGCCGAAAGTATTGCAGAATTAATTTTGAAATAAATATATGGTAAAGTTGTAACCTAAACTATCGGCGCGTAAGCTTGGTTCCAAAGTATTTTATGAATAACAGCGGTTTATTGTTCAGTTTGGAGGTAACTTTGGATTTTTTTTCTATCGAGAAAATTTTACGGAATCGTGTTTTCGTCTAACATAAACCTTAACATTAATCCTCAACTTTACCATATATTTATTTCAAAATTAATGCTGCAATACTTTCGGCATAACGGAGGATCTTGCTAAGCCATTTGAGGTTATATTTCCCCTTAAGGCAAGTGCAGAATGATGTATACAAAAATGATAATTCTGCACTTTTCCTATTACATAAAAATATTATCTGATGAAATAGTTAACTAAGATCTGTGCTTCGTGGCAGTCTGAAGGAATGTCTGTAAATGGACTTGTCCCACTGCAATGATGCTGATGATAATTAATTAGTGTGCTTCTCAAAAACTTTATGATTTATTTCTGAGTAAACTTTCAATTTATATATTATGATTACTTCTAGGTCATATGTTATCCTAAAATTTAGAAAAAAATGCAAATAAAACATAGAAGTAAACGTGAAAAAAAAGGAACAAACACACACATAAAACTCCACAGCTGATTAACTAACAGTTTATATTTTTTTAATTGCCATGCATCAATTTTTCGGTTGTCAGAAATCAGTAATTTTAACCTTTAATATGAATATAACTCATACTTTTAATGAACACATGACCTAGAGTAAGTTCTGATTAAAAAAATAGGCTTACATTTTATTGGAGATATATTCTTAATCTATTAAGCTTTTTCTAGTCTGGACCGTACTTTGTGTAGTTTTTCTCAATGATTTTAGAAACAAAAAGCAATTAAAATAATTTATATAAAAAAATATAACAAAAAATTCTAGAAAAAGTGATAATCTGTCTGCACATATAAAGCCAATATTGAAATAAACACCCCTTTCGCCATCTGCAATAAACGTCTGTATTCACTTCCAAATGGCACTCTAAAAATATTCAATCATTGACATGTAAACACTGTTGAACAACTGTGTGAAACATTGGAGTTCTGCGACTCCTTTGTATTGGAGATTTTGGACTCCTCTACATCAGAGTTCTGGGACTCTTCCGCATTGGAGTTCTGAGACTCACCTGCATTGGAGTTCCGAGTCTCATCCGTATAGGAGTTTCGGGACTTGTTTACATTAGAACTTCCGGACTCATCTGCATAAGAGTTCCGGGACTCGTCTGCATTGGAGTTCAGAGACTCGTCTGCATTGACGTTTCGCTCCTCGTCAGCACTGGAGCTGTTACTGTCATTGCTAATATACAAATTGCTGTCCAAAACCTTTATCGTTTCCGCTACATTGACCGGTTCCTTTGCTGCAGATGGCGTTAGATATGGACTAAGCAGCCACTTGAACCAATCCAATATATATCCGTTTAAAAATTTGCCAAATTCCCTGAAGTTGTCCAGGTCACCATTCATTATTTTCAAGGCCAGAATAACTCTCCTCGGAATATTGCTATAAGTTGTTGTCAACATAAACTGCAAATCGATCATCTGCTTACCCACTATCATTATTTCCTCTGTTATTTTTCTCTGCTGCTCCACAAAATCAAGATTCCGGTACAGCCTCGAAAATGGCTTTCTCTTCCATATTGCTTTTGTTAATGTTCCAGTGAATTTAACTTTCTCTTTTTTTGTATCAGGGTTCACTTTCTCTTCTACTTTAGTCAACTTTATTAAAAGTATCTGCTCAAATATGACTTTTACTATTTCTCCGACAACAGACTTCCAATCATCGTTGACAATACCAATAAGGTCCCTAGTGCTTATATTAGTTCTGTATTCCAGGATTGGTTTTGTTCGCACGATTTTCGGTTTATGAAGCAGGATGATCTTTAGGAAGTTCTTGCAACCATTGAGTTTCTCTTTTTCGTACGCGTTTGCGGCGAACTTAAAATAAGTTTTTATCTCTTCAGCCATTTTACTCGTGATTGCAGAAGCTACATTGTGGCACAGTTCTATCGGATCCTGTACACATATCGACGTTGTAAATCTCAAGGGTAGAGTTAAGTGCTTAGCTATATTTTGTTTGTAGCGTTCAAATTCGTTTGGCAAAAGATTTGGATCCTTGAAAGCTTCTTTCTTAATGGGTTGCCCGATGTATGGACAGACAACCATTTCATTGAAATTGAAGGTCGAGTAGAACTCGAAAAAACCGCCGAGCAGTTCCGATATTGAGGAGGTGTTCGACGACTTCGGAAGCAAATCGGGCTGTTTTATGAATCCCGTATTCCAAAAATCGATAATGCATTCGTTGGCCGGGTCTTTCTGCAGCCACTGCACTGACGGTAGTATCGATATTGGGTCTAGTTGTAAATAGAAAATTATCAACATCGTGAGCGCATAATTTGTCAGTTTTCCCGTGCCGGAGAAACCGTGGATTTTGGCCCAATACTTGATAACAACCGCCATGGGAATGAACCTGGGGTCGGCATGGAGTAAGAACGCTATCAGTCTGCTGTTTTGCATTCCCAGTGGTGTTTTGAATGTCAAGTCGCAGTTAGTTTGTGTGGGTATGTGGAAAAATTTGACGATTGGCGTATGAGCACGGGGGATAGCGATAAGCTCTGCGAAGAGATGGGGGTAACCTTGTAAGATCCGCTTAGCTTTGCTTACGTAACTAACATTGGGGTGTCTAAATTCATGGGGAATGTCAACGTAGCAGTCCGCGTCGCTGGTTTTAATGCCAAGACCCGTGGTGATTGAGCCAAAGGGCATTGCCATGCAACCTGTAATGAAAAAGTTACAGAATTAAATTTTTATATTCACTTCGACCTTATTAGCGACGGCAAAGAACTAAAAAGAATAAATCATAATTATAAACACTCCCGCCTGTCACCCAGAGGGGTAGGCAAAGACTACAGAGTTCCATTTAGCACGATCCTGACATACGTCTCTTGCCTCCTACGCATTCATGCTCGTCGGTTAAGGGTACTCTTAATTTGGCCAATTTGGTTGATAAACTTTCGACTAGGATGTTCCTTTCCGACTCTTCCGTTCAGTTTTGCATTGCATATAATATGCATAAATTTGTTTTGTCACTCTTTCCTCCCTCATTCAAAGGAAGTTTTATTCCTTTCTTTCTTAATCCTGTTCACAACTTCATCTTGCAAACCACACTCTTCTTTTACCACACAATTTCTCACTCTGTCATTCAGATTCAAATAAAATAATTTGATATTCTGAAGTTGATGCTAAGCCACGGTGTAGAGAAGAATTAATGCCCTTTATGAACACACACTGGCTCTTAATACAGCCTGTAATCACAATGGCTCTCTTTACCCTTTACATCAATACAGTAACGCATTCACTGCTACTTGAAATAAGCAAGAGGGTGTTACCAAGCCAGACAGACTCCTAGCCAAAATAGAGTACCGCTAGTCTAGCTAGTCCTACCGCCTAGTAAACAGGATAAACATTAATTTCATTCAGAAACTAGCGATTTGGCCCGGCTTCGCACGGGTTTTATCTGGATTCTAAAACAGCGCCATCTATCGGGTCCAACTAGGCCTATAACCGTATATGTGATGAAAACGGTATGGCAGCGCATAAAATACGAACAAACAAATCTTAAGTTTTATATATTAGATTAGCATTAACAAATCATAAATCTTTATTTGCAAGAATCCAGGTATATAAGATGTTACAATTTACACAGTGCAGTTGAGTTTTGCTAACAATAGTGCATAGCATGCGAATTACGATTTTAAACTGTTCATATGACAATATGAATTAATTAATATCAAAAAATCTTTTATGTTACAGAAGCATGCAGTTTTATTAATTAACTATACAAATGTTTCTTATATAATGTTTCGCTTATTAAATTCAAATTATTTAGATAGTTACTGGGTTATTTTGCAATATACGCCGAAATTTGCAAATAAGGTTCAGAATAAATAATATAGGCGAATGGTGAAGAAAAATTTATAAAAATTCTCTAACATTCTGTCCTCTTTTAAATTCAGAATGCGCGATAAACCCATTATTTTATCTGATTGTCATCCATAAATGGCTAACGCCTCCTATTTTACAACGCGCGCACACATTCGTGAGGGTCGTTTAGTTGGCAAAAACGTTGTGAATTAAAACACACAACAAACGCACACAGACGAGTGAGCTTACGCGTAGTTATTGCCCATAAGAAGCAGTTAATTTGGGATAATTTCAAATAAAAGTAGAAGCGTTACTCGTATGTTCAAAAACTACAACTATGGTATATCATTATTTATATATTTGATGACCTTAAAAAAATTTCGATATCTCTGAAAAATTACGCTTAATATATTCACACACTTTATAGAGTTATATTATAGAGTTACTTTGTAATCACTAGCCAAATAATCATGACCATTAATAACCTAAAAATTTTCTAAAGTGTCTAGTGATGTAAAATATCTTATAAAATTGCATATTTTTTTCTTATTTCGTATCGCATAATTGAATTTTCATATTAAACCAGGAAAAAAAGTAATGTTACTTTATCATTCTCAATAGACTTTTCAAGGCTCAAGCGCCCAGAAGCTATGTCAAAATATATTAAAATCGTGTTTTCCACATTCCATTTCAGACTATGAAACACTTGTCCATTCGTCATTTGTTTTATTAATGTTCAAAATAACCAATTTATTTTTTTATAACTTATTAATTTATGATTAGATACGATTTTTAATGGTTTTATACTACGGTGTGGAAAGAAAAATAAGTTTATGGACTTTATCTGACAGCTGTTATAACGTCAAAATTTTATTTACTTAATAGAATTTTTCCTGGCCTCTAAATTAAGAGATGATAAGTTATTATGTTATTACAAACAATAATTGTTTTTACACAAATGTAGTTGTAGGTAGACCCGACCTGTTAATAAATCAAGTGAGAGGTCAATCAATGTATGGAAAGTGGATATGATTCTTTCAGAAAGAAAGTTTAGAATAAGTAATATAGACAAATGGTGAAGAAAAATTAATTTAAAAAAATCTTACATATGGTGTTCTTTTTATCTTTTAAATTAAAAATACGTGGTAATGCATTAATTTAACTGATTTTTGTGACTACCGATCGACCCTTGCGAACTTACACAATCGTAAGGGTCGATCGGTAGGCAAAAACGTTGATGCCCATAAATCGCACTCATTTTGGGACAATTTCAAATAAAGTTAGAAGCCTCATCTATTCATATTTTCAAAAATTGCAATAACGATATATCATTATTTATTTATTATCTCTCTATAGTACTCTATAACAAACTTAACAAAATTCAAAATTTCTATCCTCATTCAAAACACGAGTGTAAAATTAGAGTTTGAGATTGGTTGCTGTCGTTAGATTACAATAATACAGAAAATTTATTAATTTGATAAGCCAATTGTGTGGGAAATAACCGGATAGCGTTAATTATTAAAAATGGTAAAAGTGTGAGAGCTGATGTTCAACTTGCCCTCTTGCTTGCGCAATTTATGATTATCAATAATATGACAGCGTAACGCTCTATACATTCAGCATAGAGTAATAACAGTTCGACCTTACCCGCAGTATGTGCCCATCACAATTACACACCAGTGCAATGTGAAGGACACAACTACGTGATAACACCAAATTATGCAAACCGGCAGCAACCTTTACCATCTCAACGTAACACAGCACAGCCTCTCAGCAACACCATCCTCCTTGCCTGCACCAGAAGAATCACCACAATGGACAGAACAACGACTATCTTAGCACGCGTAGGCTGATTTCACTCGTAAAACGACTCAAGCGGAATCTCTCGCGCTCTGCACCTACACTGAACTTTATACTGCACAAATGAGTGGGAGGGTTTCTCGATATACCCTCAATTCCAACTAGTCACGAGATACAACCGGCATTTTATAGATGCGCCTACACGGGCAACCCTGACATACGACCGTCCTCGGGCGTGCATCTTCCTGAATTCCTGTCATAAACAGTTTTAATCTCCAATTTGTCTGCTCATCTATGCTGACATGAATAGGCACACTATTCATCATACCTTTGGACATTTACACACACAAATGCAAGGACGATTACGTTTAACCTCGTGAAAACTAGCACTAGCTAGTTTAGAACCTCTAGTCTAGAAACCTCTTTTAGTACTATATAATAAAGACGTAATTGTTGTTTATCGCCTATTAATTTTTTTTTATAGAAGAAGGGGCAAACGAGCATGTGGCTCACCTGATGTTAAGTGACTACCGCCGCCCATGATCAACCGCAACACCAGGAGAATTGCGGGTGCGTTGCTGGCCCTTTAGAAAGGAGTAAGCTCTTTTCTTGAAGGTCCCCAGGTCGTATCGGTCCGGAAAAATCGCCGGTGGTAAACTATTCCACAGAGAGGTTGTACGTGGAAGAAAACTCCTAGTGAAACGTACAGTGGTGGACCGCCAAGCATCCAGATGGTAAGGATGGTATCGGGACGTTTGACGTGTAGTGCGTTCACGAAATTTGGCGGCTGGGATTAATCCGAACAATTCCTCAGAGCACTCCCCGTGATAGATGCGATAAAATACGCAAAGAGATGCAACATCTCTTCGCAGCGCCAGTGAATCGAGCCGATCGGAAAGCACTCATATACAGTTCTTTGTCCAACTTGTATGGTACTAAAGGTTTCATATTTCTTACTAAAAGTAAAAAAATAATGTAGAAACTTGGATACAGAGCCCATGGACAATAAACAATTCTTAATTTCCTAATTTTATTAAAACACTAATACATAATTTAATTTTAAAAATAATTGAGTCTTAAATTTTAATTTTAATATTTAATGTTTTAAAAAAAATCTTACGTGGGTGTTCACAATTTCCTTATTTTTACAGGGGGGAGTAGGGGTCTAAAATCATAGAATGTTTACTAATGTAATACTTGAACGCCCCCACACACATTTTACGCATATATTCAAGAAAAATATAGGAACGCAATCGGCAAAAATTTGCATGCACCAGTCTAAAACTGATTACCCATTAAAAATTAAGACGCAGTAAATGCACATTACTAATTAATAACAACACGAAAAAATCTAAATTAAAATATGACATAAATTAGGACTCTAACTCAACATAATGCTGCATAGGCAGCGCACTTTGCTCTATTTGTAATATTACCTGGCCAAAGCTGTCTTAGAATTTCCTCTAGGTCGGTGTAGAGTGTGCTGAGCTTGGTGACCTCTTCCTGTGTAAGCCGTACCGCTGCCATTATGTTGTCCAGCTGCTCGTGGAAATCGCCGGACAGATCAATACAATGCGGGTCTATTATTACTCCTAGAACGATTCATATAAATATTAGACTGAGTTTGCAGGGTAGTGGCAGGGTAAGTAAATCCACTCCCCATACCATCCCGCGGCGCGGGTATGGTAAGAGGATATAGAGAGAAACTAAAACTGGAGATGGGTAGCAGCATCTCCCTGGTAAAACAATAAAATCTGTGGTTATTAATTTGCCTGCTAAATGTGGCAGAAATGGCAAATTCCTCTTATAATGTAAACTTTAAGACGGGACCCTGAAGAGAAAAACCCACTCCTTTCTAAAAGCGTGATCACTTACCATTATCATCAGTTAAGACGTATGAAGTATGCCTCAATTTTCATAAAAGGAAGAATGGACTGAAAGACGGAGTTTTGGTTTTATAAATTCTTTGTATGATAGCAAAAACTTAAAAAAGAAATGGAAATTACTTGCGGATCCAGTCTTAATCTCAAGGGTTTGCCAAGTAGAGCATGATGTAACTGAAAACTATTTGCAATGTTTTTCAAGCTCAATTTAAAAAAAAAAAAACATTATTACCTTTCTGTTTAGTCATTGTGAAAATCCTCTTCGGTGTGGAAGGCTCCGATTGGCTGTTCCCTTGGAAAGGTTTCACAGTAAGGAATTCCCCGTATACATTTATTTTCTTTGAATCTTGTATAGCAGCCTTTGCATCGTCCTCGTTCGCGAAGTTTAGGGTTGCAAGCTTATTTGTCAATTTATCTATTGTAACATTACCATATGGAGTGAATGCTTTCAGAATATCTTGTGGCTGTGTGTAGGGAGGATAACCTGAAAATTAATAATTTTTATAAGGTATTGTTCTTTAGCCTCGTACCGGTAGGCGTAGTGTAGGGCAACCCCCCACTAGATGGAGTGACGACCTTGGTAAGACATGCAGGAAGTCGATGGATGCAGGTGGCTCAGGACCGTGCTTTGTGGCATACCTTGGGGGAGGCCTATGTTCAGCAGTGGACTTGTGAAGGGCTGTAATAATGATGATGATGATGATCGTTCTTTAATCACGTAAGGTTTGAACAGGGGCAGGCAGGGGCAGGGCAGTAAGTCAGAAAAAATATCACGATAAATCACTTGTGTAGTAAAATTTATTTAGAATTCCCAATCTAATTCTTATATGTAATATAATAATAATGTCCCCCGGACCAGATATCAATCACAGTGGGCAGTCTCAACGGAGACTAGTCATCTACGCAGGACAGGATTATAGTATCCGAGTATATGCTTGCGTGTACACTTGTTTGACTGAGTGCAATCTATACTCCCTTATTCTCATCTCTCATAGTCCGATGGGATAGAAAAACGACATGACCGGAGAGAGACCAGGCTCAGGACCAATGGTTTTACGTACTTTCCAAGGCAAGGGGGTGGAAACACCGCCAACTTCTAACACCGAGATTCAAACCCGGGACCTCATGATATGAAGACACTTTTGCGACTAGGCCAACCAGGCAGTCAATTTTGTATAGTGTGGCCATCGATCTTAACCTCTTTAATTACCTATAATCGACTTTAATAATCTTTTTTTATAGCATTGGGTGACAAACAAGCACACAGTCCACCTGATGGTAAGTGGATGCTGTGGCCGAAAGACATCTACATTTATCGTTAATTAAGAATCAAAATGCAAATGCGTTGTCACCCCTGACGACTGAGATAGAATGCTTCGATTCCAGTAAATAGGGTCTCCAGTTCTCTTTACTCACCATACGAAACACAGCAGCATTACGCTGCTATTTTACGCTGGTATTCTGAGCGTGGTTCTGCCCCAGTCGAGACGATCCATTCGAGCAACCACTATAATATAGCTGCAATATTTAATATTTTTTTATTTTTTCTTTTAAAAAACGTTACCCCTACACTAGGATTTTCTTCTGTATCGTGGGGGCAGTTTACAAACATAAATTGCACAAGGACAAACATCCAACTTGTACCGTGCGAGATTCGAACCCGCAACCCCCAGCGCAGCAACTCATTGCTAAGCCACTGCGCCACGGAGTCGTCAAATGTGTCAATATCAGCAGAGTGTGACGTATTTACGTATTTTTCCAGAAATGCTTTTAAAATATTATTGATCTATGAAAGCAATAAGTTTTATAAAATATATGATAGTCTGGTCGCTAGACCGCCGCGACTGAAATTCAGTATGGAGGACATTTTTTTACTTTACTTATTGAAAGTCATTACATAATTATACAGTATTACAGCTGCTTCAGCAAAAACTTCTGTTGTTAGAAAGCAACTAAATGCAGTGCACACTAAGTTATAGTCAATTCTCCGTAACTCCTTTTGGAGATTAGTTCATTGTTTTGTAAACCCCGAACGTTGTCTACGACAATCTAACACTAATTTGTTAAATGCGACCAAGAAAACGTCGTCTGTTCCACTACCCCATATCATTCCGTGGGTGTCGTAAGAGACGGCTGAGGGAAACAAATTGGATGGGCAGCAGCGTTTTCTTAATAACGACTAAGAAAAAAAACCTGCGGTTGCCAACCCGCTTGCAAAGCATGGCAACTGTCGCGAAATTCCCCCTATAAGGCTATCTATAGAGGAGGCCTATATTCAGCAGTGGTCTTTAATAGGTTGTAACGGTAACGATAACGATATTATTTATGTGGGGGCGCTGTCGTCGCGCCACAAGCGAAACACATCGAAGCCTAAATCGCGCTATCAAAGTTCCGAAGTAAAACAGTATACATAGAATAGCTTCGAACTGTCACACGGAGCATTGGCCGCTCCTCGAACACCTTGCCTGGCGGGATATCTCCCACTTTCCTGCCACGGCCACATTTATATGCGCACTTTGTCTACGTGATTTGAAGTTTATTTCAGATAAATAAGTAACTTTATTTAAAAACAGTAACTGCGACAAAGAAAATACTACTGCGTGGCATATTTACCGCGCCAGCTACAGCTACGCGCGCATAGCCGACGCCCGCGTGATCCACAACTGTGATACAGTTTTTGTTCTAAATCGCCTGTCTAGCAGTATAAAGAAATCTTTGGCATTTACAAAGAATTAAAGCACACATAATGAGTAAAATACCCAACTCCGTATTAAAGTGAGACACAAAACCCATTATTGTGCGCGTAAGCAGCATGGCATTTACCCAATATTAGATACTTAGTAACGTTTCTATGAAACTCCGTTAACTTGTTATACTATTTTATATTGGTACGAACAAGTCATCTAACTATTCTCATCACCTATGGGTACTACCCACTCTATAATATAAATAATTTCAAGAGCTCTTCAAACTAGGTGAGACACATAATTTTATTTCATTACGCGTATTTTGGCACTACAAATTCAATACTTAATAAAGATTACTGGGAGTATGTTAGCAGTGGACCTAGAAATGAAGATGTTGATGATGATCCTTATCATACTATATCTCGCGAAACATGCGTAAACCAATGAAAATTTAAATTAATTTTTAACCAATATAACAGTCAATTTATTTAAGCTGAAATATGCTTATTATATTATTCTCATACAGGCAATTTATAAAAAAAATATTTTTTGAAAAAAATAATATAGGAAATGTTTCAATAAATTCGTTGACAGATTGACAAATGATATTGAAATATATATGAATTAATGAAATTACTTTTTTCCCTTTTTCTTATAATCCTATACCTTTAAACGAGCAATTCTTGTATATATATAATCGGAATCTCGGAAACGGCTCCAACGATTTTCATAAAATTTTGTGTGCAGGGAATTTCGGGGGCAATAAATCGATCTAGCTAGGATTTATTTTTAGAAAATGTCTTTTTGTCCGTGTTTTTAGGCAATGAAAAACTGCTACAATATCGTTAGAATAAGAAGGTAAATTTTGACAGTTTATTAATGATTACAAATAGCTTATTTGGTATATTGGGTGGTCACAAAATCGTAATACCATGGTTCGAACCCAGACCGACCGACCGACTTTTTTTTAATTTTTTTTTCAAGTTCCTTTCTTTTTTTGAGAAAATCTATTTTTTCGAGCCCTTAACCAGTTCAGTTTTTTCTATTACGTCGCTAAGATCAAAAAATATTATTCGTATTTCATCAGTATGTAATTTGTATCTAAATATAAAATAAGCATTGTTCAGTGTTCGGCCTTTTCCACTACTTTTATCCTAATTCGTTCGAATACCGAATATGTATAAGTAAGATGTCATGTTGAAGTCAAATAATTGGTAAGAAGAAAATATTGACTTATTTTATAACTAGCGATCCGCCGCGGCGCCGCACGGGTGATTCCTGGCTCTCGACAACAGCGCCACCTACACGATCCTATTTAGTTTTTAAACCATCCAGGGACCCATTTAACATACACACAAAAAAAAATTATCAGAATCGATCAAATCATTTTCGAGTTTTTGCGAGACTAGAAAACAGAAATTGATATTTATATATAGAGGTAATGTATTTATTTTTGTAATCATTAAAGTCATAAGTACATAATCAAACTTCCGTATTATAAAATTAACAAAAACTATCAGATAAATGTCTATGTACTTGAATTATAGTAATTCAAATTTATAAGTGGAAGATTATGGTGTAGAAATACTAAATTTTCTGCATTTTCAGGCAGTAATTAACTCATTTCATAGACATCTCGTAGACATTCCAGCTCTTACAACAAGAAGCAACTTTAGCTGCCATTAGACTCAAGACCCTAAATCTTTTAAATAAGAGTTTAGATCCGTTATCTTATTTACGAAAAATCCTCTATTTAGGCTTTAGTGAAAATCTAGCAGGTATAGAAATAAATCAGAATGAAATCTTCAAAACGCTGAAGGGTCTCGATATTAGCAAAGGTGCAGGACCGGACAATTTACCACCGGTATTTATAAAAAATAGCGCAACTAGCCTAACTTTGCCTTTATATCTTATCTTTAAACCCTCGCTGTGTTTGGGTACTTTTCCAGCTTTAAGGAAAAAAAGCAAAAGTAGTTCCAATATTCAAGAGTGATGATGAGAAAGATATACGCAACTATAGGCCAATATTAATTATCTCGGTTTTTGCAAAAGTGTTCGAATCTTTAGTTTGTCCAATAATTCAAATGCATTTCAAACGTTTCGTTTCTGAGCATCAACATGGATTTTTGCCAGGTAGGTCTACCACCACTAATTTAGTTAGTTTCACTTCCTCATTATCAGAAGCTATTGACTCGCAGAAGCAGGTGGATACCATACATACGTATTTTAAAAAGGCATTTGACAAAATTCCACACGGAATACTTATTGAAAAATTATCGTATTATGGGTTTTCAGGCTCGGTGCTAAAATGGCTTTCATCATACTTACATGACCATTCTTTTTATGTAGTCGTTAATGGGTTTAGCTCTTCAACCAATCTGGTAACGTCAGGTATAGCTCAGGGCTCGCATCTTGGCCCAATTTTGTTTAATATATTTGTAAACGATATTGTTTCCTGTTTTGAAAACTCCACACCATACTTATATGCCGATGATTTGAAAATAATAAGAACAATTTGTTCACCAATAGATTCGATTTTATTACAGAACGATCTAGATAAATAATTGTAATTGAACCGCAAATGTAAACCATAATAATAGAAAGTGTAATAAACAAAGCTTCTAAATTATTAGGTTTTATTATGCGACAAGGTCGAACTTTTAAAGAAGCTAAAACAAAAGTCTGTCTTTACAACAGCCTTGTCCGCAGTCACTTAGAGTACTGTAGCGTTGTATGGAGTCCACATTATTCTACACACTACTTAAGACTGGAGCGTGTTCAGAAAAGATTCATGTGGTGGCATCTATCATACTCAGCGAAGATTAACAAAACGGTGGTGTCTATACAAAAACTATAAAAAAAGGCTAAAATACTTTAATATCATGACTTGACCAAAGAATAGATTTGTTAGATTTAATGTTTTTATACAAATTAGTAAGTAATAAGTTAGACTGCCCCAGTTTACTAAGTAAAATTAATTTTCGAGTACCACGCAGATATCCGCGTACTGCTATTACTCCAGTCATGCCTCCACGTACCAGGACGGTCTTCGGCGCCAACTCCACCCTCGTTAAAATATATAATAATTTCAGTCAGTTAATTGACATCAAAGCTCTACTAGCAAAAATAGCATGTAGTGTTTACCTTTAAATGATTTTACATACTCTGTGCAAGTAATATAGTAATTATACTTTAAGAAATGTATGTAATGTATATATTGTAAAATCGCTGGTAGACCCAATAAATAAATAAAGAGTGGAGTCCCCCATACAAATATAATTGATACAATTTACTCAAAAATTCCTATTTTACAAGCCAAGTAAGATAAGATCCCAAAACAATTTGTATTCGATAAGAAGTACAAGATACAATTAAATGAAACTGACCAGCCGGAGAGATTGAACCCAGAAGAGCTTAGAGTTTTCACGGATGTTTCTAAAACAAATGAAGGTGTAGGATCCGGAACTTTCTCTGAAGACCCTAATATCCACGTATGTACACCGCTGGGTACCCATAACAATCTTCCAGGTGGAATGTATGGGTATCCTCCAAGCGCCCATAGCAATAGATGCTAGGTAGGCAAAAGACTTCTCCATCAGAATACTGACCGACAGTATGGCGGTACTACAAGCTGAGTTGTAATGTGGTGAACTCGGGACTAATATATAAATGCCATCAACAATTAAATAAGTTATGTAAGCACAACAATGCAACTCTGAAATGGATTAAGGGACACTGAATCTAGAGGCAACGATACAACAGATGAACTGGCCAGAAGGGGATCGGCTCTGGCCACTATAGGGTCAGAACCAATAATACCAATTCCCTTTGGCTATGTTCGTTCACTGGTACATAGATACTTCAATAATTTACATGCTCAGCTTTAAAAATTTAGTAGACTGTAGACAAGCTAGGGAGGCCCTGCCTGAAATAAACAGTCGTCTAACCAAGGTTCTAATGAGACTGAACAAGCCACAGATCAGGATAGTAACAAGTGCTATCACAGGCATAGCAAACATTTATTTACCATAGGTGTTACAGATAGCTCCCTGTGCAGGGCATGCATGGGAGAGGAAGAAACGACGGCTCACGTGTTGCTGATACGTCCGGAGGTCGCGGAACAGATTTCATGGCTTGAATAATCACATTATTCCTGCCCACACGCAACTTACGCGCTTAGCTATGCGGAAAACAGCCCGTCGTAAACTAAACTAAACACTACTTTCTTTTCGACTGAATACTTTTGTCTAATATTCGGCTAAAAAACCCACAGAATATTTGGTATTCGCGCGCTTACCAAAATATACTTCTTGCGACTGTTTTAAATAAAATAAATAAATGCCCAACTAATCAGTACCTGAGATTTGCACTTTATTTGTGTTGTGAGGTTTAGGTATCTGGCTGCGGGCTTCCATCCTTCATGCGAGCTGCTCTCCTGGAAATAAAATAGTAAAAAATGTAAAACTTATCTTTACTATGCAAGTAAGGTTTGTTGGCCTAGTGGTAGTAAACGGGACTGCTAATCAATAGCCCATGGGATCGAATCCCGGGTCAGGCCAAAATCAATTATCAAGTTTTTCTGTCAAAAATTTCAGTAGCAACCAAAAGTCAGTAATTTGCCAGTGTTCACCTCTACGCCTTGGAAAGCACGTAAATCCGTGAAATATTTAAACTTAGTAATACTAAAAATCCTCATCTCCGAATAATAGTACATGTTCACAAAAACAAAAAAACCTTTCACACACTTATATTTTCTTGTATGAAGAAAGCTGGTGAATGAACGTTTCTTGAACACAGGAACTATGGGCGTAGCCTACATTTTTTTTTCAATGGTGGGCCCAAATGGACGTGGACCTAACCCTGTGTAAGTCTCGCTAGAAATTGTTAAAAATTTTCTAAAGTGGATTTGGAGATACCAAGTATTACAGGGTAATCGCTAGATTTTTGAGGGTGTGAGGTTGGTTAGTTTCTGCCCCCCTGCTAACTATATGCTTCATTGGAACCAAGCAATAGAAAGTCTAGGGTCTCAAACCTATTTAGTTAAATAAACTTGAAAGTCCGATAATCTAAAGCTTTTAGAAATTGATTTCAACATAATATTAAAACTAAAAAAAAATTTAAACATAAACTAAACTGTGCCACAAAAGAAATGCATTATTTTAAGGCAAGAATAATTTTAAGGTAGAGAGTAATAAAAATTTAAGAAAACTTATTTAAGAGATGATATCAATGAAGGCACACTTTAAAAATGCTGTAATAATATAAAAAATATTGTTTTTAAAGTATTTCCTAATGATCTAGTCCATAATCAGATTATAAATAATAATTATAAAGAACACTAATTTTTGTTTACTCTACACTTATATTGCAATTAAGTAATGAAATTACTATGAAGCACTAAAATTGAAACTAACAACATTTATTTAAAAATTTCAACATACATACGAATTTTATTGCGTTAAATTTTACTTATTTTCTAAACGCGATAAAATCCGTGAAAATAGATTTATTGCAGTCACAAAAATATAAGAAATCATTATATGAAACTCAATATTATATTAATACGCAAAACCTACGCTTAGACAGTGCGATTTAACATCTAGGGCTACCTTGTTCCGCCGCGTGGGTGTCGTAAAAGGCACTATGGAACTTTCCAGAAAGATCTCATAGCTTCGAGTTCAACTAACGCGTCTACATGATATAAAAATACCCAGACCTGTTACAGGTGCTATGTCTGGTGCAATTTGTCAATCTCCCTGCTAAGCGTGGTGGTTATGGTAAATGCTCCCAACAATGTTTGTCTTTTATCATAAAGACTAAAATAAAAACCTAGGCAATAAGAATAAAACCTTAATTTTAAATGGTATTTAAATAAAAATAAAATCAACCTGTTTTAACGTCAACAACTTTTTCAAAATATTTTGGCGCTAAAAAGCCAGATTCATTTCCCGGCGTCAGTACAACGCCGTTTTCGGACTCGTAAAACTTGATGCCTTCTGCCAATCCCTTGGCTATATCAATGAAAATGTATATTTGGACGTTCTTACGGAGTCCACTGATGACATTGGCACCAAGCGTGCCTTTTGATAAATGTATATGACATCTTTTCATGCAACTCAAACCTTCCGATTTTATTTTTGGCCAGCAATCATAATATGTTCCATGAACCACTGTGCTGTATTTGGGCTGTAGATGGAAAAATTTAATATTAATATTTTTTAATTCCTCTTATCTTATTTGATTTATGATCCATAGACGCCTCTATCTATCTTCAATTTTATATTCCATTCAATCTAATTAAATTAAGAACCACAATCCCTTTATTTAGAGTTTAGAATAATTTGTATCATATATATATATATATATATATATATATATATATATATATATATATATATATATATATATGACGTAAGTCTTTATATATAATATAATGAGTAATATAAAATAAATAAATAATCTATATATTAAATAAATTGATATATAACTGTGTGGTGACGGTGTAAGAATATCCACTACCTAATAATATCCACAAACAGGAAGTGGACAGCACCATCTTTGTGGCAACTATGACAAAATCCACCCTATGAGGCAATTTATGGGATAGGCCTATGTTCTGAAGAGGACCTTTTAGGCTGTAATGGATAGATATATATAAGAAAAAGGCATTCTCAAATGGCAGCCCCGTACTTATAAAGCTCGGACTTTATTATGGTCATTAGACAAGTACCAGGGGTGATCCAAAAGTAATGATAATCGGTTACTTCAGGTTCGCATAAAAATCCAAAAAAAATATTTTTTGCTTACTTATATACTCACTACGTCAGCCTAAAAAAATCATATAAATAGATCACGATTTCCGGGAGATATATTCATTTGAATACGAACTGTCAACGAGATAACATCAACATGGAGAAAAATGAAATTAGAGCTGTCATCAAGTACCTCTGTTTGAAAAAAATGTCTTCAAAAGACATACACAGTGACTTAGTGGAAACATTGGGGGACTGCTCCTCCATATTCTACAATTGCACGCTGGGCCAAGGAGTTTAAACTGGGCAGAACATCCACTGAAGATGAACATCGCGAAGGACGCCCATCCACGTCCCTCACTGAAGACAACGTGAAAAAAGTCGAAGATGTTGTGTTGGCAGATCGAAGAGTGACCATCAGGCATGTAGCTGAGGTCACAGGGATCTCATATGGTAGTGTTTAAAGAATCCTTGCGAAGGAGTTGCATATGAAAAAGGTCTCTGCGCGTTGGGTACCCAGAATGTTAACCGACGAGCAAAAAAAAATCGAGTTGACATTTCGAGGATCAATCTCTAAAAATTCCAAGCAGATCAAGAAAATTTTTTATTCCGTTCTGTGACTATGGACGAGACCTGGATCCACCATTTTGATCCTGAAACGAAACAACAGTCGATGACTTGGAAGCGAGCCTCCTCACCGACGCCAAAGAAATTCAAAGTTTCAAGTTCGGCGGGAAAGGTTATGGCATCTGTTTTTTGGGACGCTTAAGGCATAATAATTATGGTGGAATATTTGGAGAAGGGAGCCACTATTACGGGCTCTTACTACGCAGACCAGATAAGAAGATTACGGGAGGCCATTAAGGAAAAAAGACGCGGCAAACTGCGAGCTGGAGTGCTGTTTCACCAAGAGAACGCACCGGCTCACAAAGCCGCAGTTGCGATGGCTGCCATTCAAGAAACTGGATTCGAACTGCTCGAACACCCTCCCTATTCGCCAGATCTAGCTCCTAGTGACTTCTACCTCTTCCCTCGGCTCAAGGAACGCCTCCGAGGCAAGAAATTCGAAGACGATAGCGAAGTAATGGCCGCTGTTGAAGCGTTTTGGGAGGGTCAAGACAAAGAATTTTTTTCAAAGGGAATCCTGGGTTTAGAAAAAAGATGCACTAAAATGTATTGATTTATTAGGAGACTATGTAGAAGAATAAATTATTATTTTAACTTTAATTACTGTGTTTTATTTTCATTATCATTACTTTTGGATCACGCCTCGTAATCTTCCAAAACTCACTTACTTCTAAAATAGGTGTCAGTTCTGAATCATCAATATTGCTGATACTGTGCCCCTGATTTGCTTTTATCTCAAGAATATTTGTATGTGGATTGCATCTCAATTTGAACCTTTGCTTGTCATTGTTATTCACTACTCGCTCAACATCAGTTTTGCTGTATTTATCCTTAAATGATTTGTGTTGTAGTATTTCATCAACAGACAAATATCCTTCAGGACTGAAACAAAAGAGATATATTACTTCTTAAAGCAGACAATTTTTTTAAAGCAATATTGCAATAAAATGTTAACTCTTCACTGTCAGTAATATCATCATGATCATAACAGCCCTTCACAAGGAATGCTACAAAACACGGTCCTGAACCACCTGCATCTATCGACTTCCTGCATGTCTTACCAGGTTACTTCTCTACTGGTCAGAGGCTGCCACTCGAGAACCTTTAAAAGTAACTATAGTGAATAAAATTATCACATTATTTAACCCCATTAGCTATATAGTGTCTATTTTAAGTAAGAGTAGAGTCCCCCATACAGATGTAATTGATAGAACTGACTCAAAAATTCCTATCTTACAACCCAAGTATGATAGGATCCCAAAACAATTTATATTCGATAAGTACAGGATACAATTGAAGGAAACTGACCATCTGGAAGGATTGGGTCCAAGAGAGCTCAGTTTTCATGGATAGTTCTAAGAAAATTGAAGGTGTGGGGTCTGGGGCTTTCTCTGAAGACCTTAATATCCACATATGCACACCGCTGGGTACCCACAACACAGTCTTCCAGGCTAAATGCATGGGTATCATCCAAGCGGCCATAGAAATAGATGCTAGGAAGGTGACAGACATCTCCATCAGAATACTGATCGACAGTATGGCGGTATTACAAGCTCTGAGTTGCAATGTGACGAACTCGGGACTGATATACAAGTGCCATCAACGATTGAATGAGGTATGTAAGTATAACAATGTGACTCTGCAATAGATCAAAGGGCACAGTGAATCTAGAGGCAACGCTGCAGCAGATGAACTAGCCAGAAGGGGATCGGCTCTGGCAAGTATAGGGCTGGAAGCCATAATACCAATCCCCTTTGGCTATGTTCGTTCAGTGGTTACTTAATAATTTACACGCTCAACTTTGGAAAATTTTTGAAGACTGTAGACAAACTAGGGAGGCCCTGCCTGAAATAAACAGTCATCAAGGTTCTAATGAGACTGAAAAGCCAAAGCTCAGGATAGTAACAAGTGCTATCACAGGACATGGCTCTTTTAACAAACATTTGTTCACCATAGGTGTTACTGACAGCCCCCTGTGCAGGGCATGCATGGGAGAGGAAGAAACGGCGGCTCACGTGTTGCTGACATGTCCAGAAGTCGCTTCATACAGGGCTAAACATCTCGGCACGCCGGGATCGCTCCCCCGAAGTTGCTTGCAACATCAAAGGACTGTTGAACTTCTTTGGGGAAATATCATGGCTCGAATAACTACATTATTCCTGCCCACACGCAAAATACGCGCTTAGACGTGGAGTTGCGGAAAACAGCTCGTCGTAAACTAAACTAGTGTCTATCTTACAAAGCACTGTTATCTTGAGAGTCAAGTGTGAATAAAATTATTATACAGAACAAAGTACATGAAGCTATTACTGAGCAATTTTATTTAAAAAGAATACAGATTTTGCTATAAAATATAACATTTTGTCTGATTTTATATTTTATGTTTTTAAGTTTTATTCTACATACTATTCACATTCATGATTATATTATTATATGGTATATATTTAATATAAAATATTAAATAATTCTCTAATTATGAATGAAATATATCTAATATAAATATTTATGAAAATATTTATTTAAAATACTATTGTTACGCGCGCTCCAGGCGCTGGAAGGGTGTGCCTGCGGTGCGGGCGGGGGATATGGCGCCACTCTGTCGCGGCACGGAAAACTACCGGTACTTTTGACTCAGCGTGCGCGCCGGATTGTGGCCTTTTATTTTAATATAATTTGAAAAGTGTTTGTCAAGATTAATTAAAGACTGTACCTAATAACTGTGTTTAGACTTTCTTGTTACAATTTTAATATAATTTGAAAAGTGTTTGTCAAAGATTAATTAAAGATTGTACCTAATAACTGTGTTTAGATTTTCTTGTTACATTCAGAAGTGGGATAATAGGACGAAATGAAGCGTACTGTGCCTAATAAAGACAGTGCATATACTCGTGCAACAAAAAAAATCTAGACTTTTTGCGACTAGTGCTGGAACATTACACGTGAACTCATTACCTGGTGTGAACGTGATGTCAAGTGCTAGCGATTCCGAGGAAGATGTTTCTCCAAACGTTCTTCTTGAACGATTGATGACACAAAAGCTAGAACGCATGGTGGAGAAGTATTGTACAACTTCACAGCCGTCAAGGAATGTCTCTGGTGAGAAAATTATACCTGTTTTTGACCCTGATAACCATGAAGTCAATGTGAAAAATTGGCTAGCTAAGATTGATCAACTTGGGTTAGTCCATAAATGGGACGATTATTCTAAAATTGTAATAATGCAAACAAGACTATCAGGTCAAGCACAACTGTGTTTAGCCGATTGGAGGAGTATTAATATACGTGGGATCAGTGGAAATCTTTATTGATCAATGCATTTCCGAGGAGTTTCGAATACGCTGACATGCTCGAAGAACTAGTGGATCGAAAGAAACAACACACGGAAAGTATCACACACTATTATCACGATAAATTGGCTATGTGTCGTCGTTGTCGGCTAGATGACGCTGCATCACTTTCATGTTTAATTAAAGGCTTACCCTCAGATTTACAAAATAATGCAAAGGCTTTTAAATGTGAAACTCCTGAGCAATTTTACACCGGATATTTGTCATCGTTTGAAAATTACCGTAATAAAACAGATTTGAGGAAATTAGATAGTGGATTTGCTAACCACTTTCGAATTACGAAAACCGATTTTGACAAAAAGCGGACATCCGACTTAATGGGGCCTACAACATCGCGCCCAGCGCTGACATCAACACTTCGGAAGATGCTTTGCTTCAGGTGCAATTCTGCCGAGCATATGGTTAAGGACTGCCCAGTTCCAGACAGACGTATTTGCAAGTTTTGCGGTCTAGTGGGTCACAACATCAATAAATGTTTAAAACTAGAGAATCTGTTAAAAAAATCTAAGGATGAAACAGTTCCAATTAATATTGTACAAAATCTTAACAATATATACAAGAAAGAAGTTCGCGTTGGAAGAACGCAGTATCGTGGCTATTTGGACACAGGCGCCCAAGTGAATATTATAACACTGGATATGGCAAAGTCCTTAAATTGCCCTATTTTGGAATCAAAAACTACTCTACAGGGATTTACGGGTGACACTGTGCCAGCTATGGGTCAGGTACAATTAACAATGACAATTGATGGATTGGTATTTGATACAACTGCAGTAGTAACACATATGAAACTACCAGCGGAGGTCGATGTGCTCGTTGGGCAACCAGTAATTAATTCGGAAGGAATATCGTTGATTACTACTCAAAATTCAGCTCAGTTAAAAAGAAATATCGTAGAAGATGAAAACATTTCAGACGGAAAATTTAGAGTAACCGCTAGCTCTGAAGTACGAATATCGTCTAATGAATCTCAAATGGTGCTAGTAAACGTCAAAGGAAATTCTGATGACTGCGATGTATGTACTACGCCGAGAATCCACAACATAAATAATCAATATTTCGTCATACCTGCAGCTCTAATAACAGGAGAAAAAGGGCTTGTGCGAATATATAATATGGGAACAGATCAAGTCAGCTGGAAGGAAGGTGAGACGATAGTACGAGCAGTACCATGTACTCCAGTCGGTAGTACTGTTGAGGGCAAGACCACTGATGATGATGGAAGCGAAACACACATGCTTCAGGCCGCAAACATTGAGGTGCGTAAGAAATTTTAAGTATTTAATCTGTCTGGGAGGTTTCCCGTGATTCTGATACTCTGTCTAATTTCTGTCTGACTTCTGTTCTGTTTTTTTAAAAAAAAAATCTATTTATTGATTTCTGTTCTGTTTATATGTTCGATTCTGCTCTGTTTCGTTCTGCTCTGTCTGACTATTTTATAATGCTGTGAGTGTACAATATTCCCACAGTATGCGTTTGAATCTAATAATAAGGGCCTTCTCGTCAGCCACTCGAAATACTAAAGCGATAAGCTCGCTAACATAAACAAAAAAATAAAGAGGGAGTAAGAATTGTAACTAAAATTAACTTTTGGTGTGTTGCGCCGACAATACAAAAACAGTTATTCTTCGAAATACTTTTAAAATGTGTGTGGGATTTTTTTTTAAGTACGTATTGATTTATATGTATATTATTTATTGTATTTATTCTTATCGATATTTTGTTATTTTAACTCTGTTTGTTGTTTGATTATTATACTACAGGATTGGCTTAACCTACTTGAAATAGAGTAGGAGTATTTTTTTGTCATAGATATTTTCTTTACAAGTATTTAAAAAAAAAAAAAAAAAAACTTATTTCTTCTCTCCTTTCACAGCGGCCTTACTTACAACATGAAGAAAATAGGAATGAAATAAATAATGTAGGGAAACTTAGGAAGGAGCGTAGCATCGAATACTTACGCACTTGCGTTATAGCTAATACACCGTTGTCAAATATTGATGTAGGAAATTTAAACTGTAATGAACAATGCCGATTATTTGAACTACTTATACAATATCAGGATTGTTTTGCGAAGGACACGAATAACTTGGGTTGCACTAACTTATCTGAAATGGAAATAGAATTAAATTCATCTACCCCCGTTTTTCATAAGCCATATCGCATGGCCCATAGAGAGCTCGAAATCGTAAGAAGTAAAGTAAAAGATTTACTTGATGCCGGAATAGTTAAAGAATCACAGTCGAATTACGCTTCACCAGTGATACTTGTGAAAAAGAAAAACGGAGATAGTCGTTTATGCGTTGATTATCGCGCTTTAAATGCGATTACGATTAAAGATAGGTTTCCTTTACCACACATAGACGACCAACTAAACAAATTATCTGGAAAATGTTACTACACTAGTTTAGACTTGGCGCAAGGTTACCACCAGATACCACTTTCTAATAACTCTACTAAATACACGTCGTTTATAACTCCTGATGGGCAGTGGGAATACACGAGGGTACCATATGGACTTGCTAATGGACCCGC